AACCCTGTGACGGAAAGGTAAGTTCTAGGGCCGGCCGGTGGCTCACTCGGGAGAGTGTGGTGCTGATAACACCAAGGCCACGGGTTCGGATCCCATATAGGGATGGCCGGTTAGCTCACTGGCTGAGCATGGTTCTGACAACACCAAGCCAAGGGTTAAGATCCCCTTACCTGTCATCTTAAAAAAAAAAAAAAAGAAAGGTAAATTCTAAGAACAGTCATAGTTGCAGCTCTTTAACCATTCAGAAAAAAATGTGTAAAGCAGTATAATGAGTTTCCTGAGTTCAAAAAGCAAAAAGCTGGGGGGGTAAAAAACATGTGCCTTTTTGCCAGTCCCTCTCTATTTGCCAAATAACATTTCCTCTTTTGTTTTCACAACTAAATTTAAATAAAATAGTGAAGCTTGGGCCGGCCCTGTGGCACACTCAGGAGAGTGCGGCGCTGGGAGCGCAGTGACACTCCTGCCGCGGGTTCGGATCCTATATAGGGATGGCCGGTGTGCTCACTGGCTGAGCGCGGTGCGGACGACACCAAGCCAAGGGTTGTGATCCCCTTACCGGTCACAAAAAAGGCAAAAAAAAATAGTGAAGCTTACTTCTTTATTGACAATACCCCATTAGTGGATGTGATGGTTACTTTATTTGTTGACTTGAATAGGCTATGAGGTGCCCAGATATTTGGTCAAACATTATTCTGGGTGTTCCTGTGAGGGTGTTTTTGGATGAGATTAACATCTAAATCTGTAGACTGAGTAAAGCAGATTGGCCTCCCTAATGTGGGTGGGCTTTATCCAATCAGTTGAAGACCTAGATAGAGCAAAAGACACTTCACCTCAGTAAGGAAGAATTCCTCCTGCCTGACTGCTTTCAGACTGGGACATCAGCTTTTTCCTGCCTTTGGATCTGAGGACTCGAACTGAAAAGTTGGTTCTTTCTTTGGCTCTTTCTTGGGACTCCAGCCTGCCAACCTTCTGATGAGAACTATACCACTAGCTCTCAGAGGTCTCCAGGTTGCCAGCTCACCCTGCAGATCTTGGGACTTGTCAGCCTCCATAATCACATGAGCCAATTCGTCCTTATCTATCTGTCCATCCATCCATCCTATTGGCTCTTTTCTCTGGAGAACTCTAATAACAATGAACATACACTAATGTCAACTAACTAAAGAAAAACACCCCAAAGAACTACCACTTCTCCAGCAAGTAAATCCTTTTTTGAAAGGCTTGGCTATGCAGAATTCATATAGGATCATGGACTTTTATTGACTAGAGACAAATCAAATTCAATGCTGAAAAAAATTCCAGTGCTGAAATACTAAATTTCTGGAACATAGGCACTATGTTGGTTTTGCTTTACAGTCTAGTACAGTGACTAGCATGACAGAAATTAAAATTTTTAAATAAAACAACATCATTCGATGGCGATGGAAAAAATAATGAAAATCAATGAGGCTTTGTCAACTAGTGTTATTGTGATCTCTAAGTGATTTCATGGGCAATTAGAAGTGGTAGACATACTGATGAAAGTCCACCCTGAAGGAAGCTGCTTTCATTTTGCTGATACTACAGAGAGGTGGGCTTCTAGATTCAGCATAGACTGTGGGCCCAGCTTTTTATCTGTGCTCTGCACCTCTGCCCTGGTCTTCTTTTCTGCTCTCTCATGCTCCTTCCCAGCATCAGTGCTAAATGAAAGCATTTTCTACCTCTCAACTCCACCTCACCCTTGATGTGTCCTGTTTTCTCCTCTCCAATAAAGGAAGGAGGGTGGAGCTGTGCCTTCCCTGGCAGCCACGCAGCTTGGGGCTTGTTTTAGGCTCCACCTCCCACATCATCCCCGTGTGGACTACACAGCTCTTACTCAGAAGCTGTTTTTCCATCCTAGGAGCTGACCTCATTGTTCCTGGGGCTGGAGCCACCTATGAGGCAATCCTGGCCAATTTGGGAGTTCATGGCAGTTTTGCATTTGTGGCACAGGAGAAGTCAACCTGTCCCATTGTCTTTTGTCATAAAGACGATATTAACAACCATCTTTCCTCTCCTCTGAGCATGAACATGGCTGAAAACACAGAAGTGCAACTTGTATGTCACACATGGATATGGTCTGTGGATTCACAAGTAGGAGCCTTGTTGTTGTTATGGAAATTGCCAGTATACAGCTCTGTTTCCTGTTCTTGCAGACCAGCATGACATTTGGCTCAGCAGGGCCCCTGTCATGGGTTGCCACACAAACATTGTCTGTCTGGTGCTGTCATTTCCTGGCAGTGAACAATTATTGCACATTGCTTCAGGATGCTCTCACAGTGTCCCTCTCGTGGAGGCTGAGCTGTCCTCAAAAGGCAAATGTATAGCTGGAGTCATTCTTTTGCAGAACATAGGCAGGAACAAAGCCAGTGTGGTTTACCGGAAAGAACACCAAATATGGGTCTAGGAGTACGAGCTACACTCTTTGTCAATAGAGGAACTTGTCCCCCTCCCATTCACCATTTTGTTCTTACAACATAACAAGTGCCTTCCTGTCCCTTCCCTATCTGACACCATGAGGTGGGGAAGGCAGGTGGGAAAGGTGGTAGCCTTTTCCTTCATCATTGTCCAACCTGGCCACATCGCATGCTCTACTAGACACCACCACATGCCCTCAGCAACCCAGCTAATCAGCTGTCATTCTAGATTTTTTTTCCACTGACGTGTTCTTGGCCATAGCCCTAACTTTAGGGGGCCTCAATTTCCCCATTATTTAAATGAATAGTGACCAATCCAAGTTGAATTCTGCATCCTTGGTATAGAACGTGTTATATTAGTGCAAAATATGTTTCTTCGGGGCCAGCCTGTGGCTCACTTGGAAGAGTGCGGTGCTGATAACACCAAGGCCACGGGTTTGGATCCCTATATAGGGATGGCTGGTTGGCTCACTTAGGAGAGCGTGGTGCTGACAACACCAAGTCAAGGGTTAAGATCCCCTTACCAGTCATCTTTAAAAAAAAAAAAAAATGTATATATATGTTTCTTCAGATGTACATTGGGAATAATTCATTTGACTTAGTACATTAGTAATTCATCAAATATCCAACTAATATTTATTTAACATTTACATTGCGTATGTCACGGTGTTAGATAATTATTATGAAGGTTTAGCAACAGATTACATATTGCTTAAGAAATGTGTGTTTTGGGGGCCGGCCCATGGCTCACTCGGTAGAGTGCGGTGCTAATAACACCAAGGCCACGGGTTCGGATCCCATATAGGGATGGCCGGTTAGCTCACTGGCTGAGCATGGTGCTGACAACACCAAGTCAAGGGTTAAGATCCCCTTACCGGTCATCTTTAAAAAAAAAAAAAGAAATGTGTGTTTTTGAGAAGTTAATAACAATAGTTATCTCATATTTCAATTGACAAATGCCTATTCAATACTTGGTACGTTTTTAAGAATAGTAATTTAGATGCAACAGGCGGGATAAAAAGTGAACAATTTCACTCAAACTTCAGGTTTCGGTAGGACTAGGTATGTTAGTAATAAATGATATGGTGTTTCCTTACTAGAAAGGACTAATTAATCTTTACAGGACACAAAGCATTATCTTGACACGAAATGTTATGTAAGCCTCAACTGATCTTTATATGATTACTTGTAGCAGGGAAAGAACCCAGACCCTTGAAATAGCTATTTTCGATCCCCAGAAAGAGGAAACCACGAATAAACAAAGAAAAGGCTTTGGACTCAGGTCTCTAGATTACTTCTTCCGGAACCCTGAGGACGGAGAGCTGGGGAGGAGATTATAGAGTGACTTCGGGTTGCTCACACATACCTGGAGAGACACCCCCTTTGCAAAATACTGCTTTCTAGGCACAACCCATCTTTATTATTTTGAGTCCTTTTCCATCTACTGGAATCCCCATGGAGCGGCTCTTCCTCTCTCTCACTGTCCCTCCTGTGCGAAACAAAGACAACAGCATCTTTAACTTCACAGGCCTTGAAATTCTATTTTTGCTCATACTGCCACAGTCTAATGATTTCTAACCCCTTTATCGCCTCCCCCCTCAGCAATGAGTCTCACCTGCCAAGCATCTTAGCAGAGAATGCGATTCTGCGAGCCAGGACATCTGTGTTTAGGAGGCTCAGATGCCTCCCGACACCCTTCCTATCCCCCCAACGAGTGGCTTTTTAAATCGTGCAAGAGTTTCGAAATACCCTAATGTCAGCATATTAACTATGAAGGGACTCCCTCAGATTCCCCAGCCTTAAAGTTATGCCATGCAAATGCACACGAGCGTGTTTCCATGGCGCCGAAGGAAAGTGCTGGTTGGGGACTTGCAGCAGCGTGACCATCCACGTCACTCCTGCCACCGCCTCTCACCAGGGCCCCCTTGCTGTGACATATTTGGAAAACAGGGCCGAGGAGGACACAGCGCCGAGTGCAAACAGGCGGAGATCAGACCAAGCTGAGCGCGGCTGCTTCTGTAACGAGAGGGCTCCGTAGACCTGAGGAAAAGCCACGCTGGCCGTTGTTTGGGGACCTCCTGGGGTTGCTTCCTTGGCCTCTCGGGCTGGAAGGAAGCGGCCCCCCCAAAACCGCTTCCGGAACTGCGGCTGCTCCCCTCCCACCCCCACCCCTAAGGAGCCGTGACCTCCCAGGCCACCACTCTCCGCGACCCAAAAATAACCACACAGTGCAAGGAGCAGAGCCAAGGCCCGCCGAGCAGGGACACACTTATCGCACCCAACCAGAACGCCCGCCACCCCACCCCGCGCCGGCCCTTTATAGCTGGTCCCTCGAGCCCCGCCCTAGCAACTGCCCTAGCAACGCCTCTCCCGGGCGCTCGGCCGGCTTATCGGCCTCCGCCAGGCCCTTCCTGTTCCCCTCCCCCAGCCCGCGCCGCCCTGCCGCCCGGCTCACGTGACCCGCCCCAGGGGAGGGGAGGGGTGAGCGGAAGCGCGAGGAGCGGGGCGCCGAAGGGCGAGGCTGACGTCATCAAGACGCGTCGGGCTAGTGGCGACGCCCGGCGTTCCGCGGAGACTGGATATTCGACGACGGGAGGAAATGGCGGAGGCTGCGGCGCTCGTGTGGATTCGCGGCCCCGGCTCCGGGTGCGAGGCGGTATGCTGGGTCTCGGCTGCGTGCTCCGTACGGGATTTTATCCGTCGACACTGCCAAGATCGGGTGAGGATCGCGGTTCCTGGAAGGAAGGGGAAAGAGGCGGACAAGGGGCAGGGCTGGGTGCGGAGAGGGCATGGCCGGGGTGTGTCTGCTCTCTGGGGTTTTTCGTTCTAAGGCTGAGAGTTCAACAGTTTTAAGGCGATTCTGACTGATACCGAGACCTTGCTTTTGTTTTGTGGTGATGGTGGTTTTGCCTCCCCACAGAAGGAGGTTAAAAAAAAAACCCAAAACCAAAAAAACCCATTCCTGTTGGAGACGCTCAGTTCAGCCCTCAGAGACATTTTGGTTCTGTTTCTTCATCGGTAAATGAGGCAGTTGAACCAGATGGCCTTTAAGACTCAAGTCCTTCCCTTCATATCACGGTTTGCGACGTGCATTTTGTGCAATGATCACACAGCCCTGTTAGCTCCAACCTAGACAAGCATGTCACATCCAAACCCAGGCCATTCATCTGGCCGGGGCCAAGCTGCACACGTGTCCTGTTGAAGGCATGGGTTCTTAGGGCTTGTTATTTAAATGGTGTCTCTAGTCATTTGTTGGTCTCATTTGAAGTTACGTGTGTGCTTTTATGTAATTCCCAAGTAAGCAACCTTTCACCAACTAAACCTGTTCAGTTATCTAAAGAATTTAGTGGTCTCCCTGAGTCCAATTTTAATTTTGGCCTTGATCTAGGACTCTGTTTTTCTTCGTAACCACCGCACCTCATCCGTGCTTCTCTAGGCTGTTTCCCCTGCTTGTTATTTATAAGCTTAACAAATGTTAACACTGCATTCTAAACCAAATATTTAAACAACTTGGACCATTTCCATGAAGAAGCGATGTGTGTTTGTAAATAACGTGGGTTTTTTTTTCCAGCTTCCCTACATGTCTCCTACACTGCAATCCAGTCTAAAAGCTGTCAGCAGAACTGTTTTTGACCATCCAAATGAGAAAATATTTTCCAGAATAGTTGCATTTTGATATCTTTGACAATAACTGTTCTCTCGTGAGTACAGTTTTCATACTCACTGACAGTGGTCCAAAAAAATAGAATCTTAACTATGAAGGATGTTGGAAATAAGAATTTTTATTTTTATTTAATTTTAATTTTTTTTTAAAAGATGACCGGTAAGGGGATCTTAACCCTTGACTTGGTGTTGTCAGCACCACACTCTCCCAAGTGAGCCAACCGGCCATCCCTATATAGGATCTGAACCCGTGGCCTTGGTGTTATCAGCACCGCAGTCTCCCAAGTGAGCCACGGGCCGGCCCGGAAATAAGAATTTTAAAATAAGAAACAAGAAATATAAATGAGTAGATTCAGTGAGGTGCTTAAGAAACATGACCATAAGCAAATATGAGTGGAAACACAAAACTTACAAAACAGCATTTGATGAGATACTGGAATGAATAAAAATAGCTCAAATTCACACTGCTTTTAGAAACAATCATTCTGACACATGATAAAGTTAATGTTAGCTCCCACTGGGGGAGTGGGGGGGGGAGTCTGCCCTTCTGTTCGTCAGGCTGGGATAACAAACACGGATAAAGCCAGCTGTAAAGTTAATAGGAAATAGTATTTCTCCCAAGGACGTGCTACAATGATGAAATGTCATAGTGACCCTCTTGAAAGCCCACTGCTTTCTTATTCTCTGAGAAACTTTGGTCTTTGCTGCTTGAATTATAAGAATGAAACCTCCCACTCTTGCCTTGAAGATCTAAGTCACTTTGATATAGAGAAGCACTCTTGATTTCCCAACCCAGGTGCTGAGCTGCTGATTAGGGGTTTCTGAACATAACATCCCATGTTTACCTTAAATTTGTAGTTTCCAAGGAAGGAGGGGCCTGGGTCTACTTCACATTCCAGACCTGATATTGACCCTTATACACACAATCCTGCTTTGTTTTGAGCCTGTCAGAACACTGCTTTATTTAAATTTCACCTTGCCCTAAATCCTATAATACTTCTTTTGTTGGTGAGACACCCCATGATTCCTCTGGTGTGCAGTTCCCCCTTGTCACAGTGAGTTAATAAATTCAACTTTAGTGGACTACAGGTTTATCTCTGGTGGCCTTAGGCTGCTTGGACTAAGACACACACAGTACTTTGTGCTTGAAGTGCGTTATAATACACTAATGGTTAAAGACAATTAAATTAATTCTAAATTTTCTTTTTCTTTTTTTCTACTAGTGACTTAATTGACAAGAATCTTAAGTAGAAAATGGAATTTTGTCGGTCACTTGTCTTGCTTAATAAGCAGTTCTGTTTGGAGATGCAGTATGATGTATAATCTTTCTGGCTTCATATTAATGTCTTTTAAAATTTTAGGAATACCATACCCATTACACATACAAAATATTAAAGGAAACTAAAGTGGCTTTTAATTTATAAGCATTAAACAGATACGAAATGTATCACGTACCTCATTTAATCTTCGCAACAACTCTTTAAGGTAGACAGTATTTTGCAGACAAGAATAGTCTTTCATGATAATCACTTCATTGCAGATAGCCTGAGCTCCCTTGCTCCTCTCTGCTGCCATCATATTTGCCTGGAAAGATGCCATTCAGCTTAAATCCAACTCTCCGCCTATTCTGCCCTGGTATCTGGGCGGTAACAGTGGTAGGGAAACTCACACAGATCTTTTCACTATACACAACCAGCAGCCTTAGTGCTGCTTGGCAGTTCTGTGTTTCCCAAATCCAGAGTGGGCTTCTGCTTTATAGAACTACGGAGAATTTTGATCCTTGTAGACTTCTGGGCAGCTGGACAGAATCTGCAGCTGCCTGGAACCTCGATCCACCTTCAGCAGGTTTGCTCATTTCCCCCAAGGGTTCACAGAAGTGTTTTTTATGAATGCGGTGGTGTGAACAGGGTTGGGAAGCCGTGTTAGTTCCTCACTCTTTTGTGCTCCTAGGTTGCTTTGTCACATCTTCACTCTTTAAATCTCCAATACATCTTCCCTCCTGAGGCCCAGACTTTCTATTCAGTGAGAAAGTGTGAGCAGTAAAGAGAATTTCCTCCCCCTCACACCAGTGCCCCTACCTTCCTGCCACCTATTCAGCCTTCGTTGCTATGGGTAAGCTGTCCTCATTATTTTACACATATTTAGTAGTTATTTTCCACTCTGCACAGTATCCCTTCCCCCCTCTCCTATTTAAACACTTATTTTAATGTTACTTCTCTCTCCCCTGCATTTTCCAGTGTTTTTTCCTCTTTAGGGGACCGTTTCTACCAGTGTGCAAACATGAACCCCCATCCCCTCTAGCTATCACCCGTATTTTCTCTGGTTTTCTGTGCAGAAAAAAATTCTTGAACATAGAACACTTCTTCTTTAGGACGCATTCTAGTTAGGTTTCTGGGTCCATCACTCCAGCAGAACAGCTCTTATTCTCATAGTGTCTTCTGTGTTGCCACATCCAATGATCAGTTTCCACTTTTCATCTTACTTGGATTGTCAGTGTCATTTGGCGTGATTGGTCATTCCCTCCTCGACACACTTTTGTCACGAGGCCAGACATCACCGTCATTTCTCTTCCACCTCACTGCCCTCTCCTTTCAAGCCTCTTTCCCTAATTTCCCAGGCTTGGAGTGGCCAGGGCTTAGTCTTCTGATCTTTCTTCTAATATGCTCCCCTCTCATCCAGGTGATTTCATCCAGTTACATGGCTTCCAGTACCATTAATATGCCGACAGCTTTCAGATATAGATCTCCATCCCAGCCCTCTCCCCTGAACTCCAGATTTGTATATCTGTCAGCTTACTCAGCATCTCCACTTGGTTAATAGACATGTCAAACTAACTTGTCCAAAATGGGATGAATTTTTCCCCCAAAACTTCCTTTGCCATACTAATATATCCTCTTTTCTCCCACTAGTCAAACCAAATTTTTTAAATCACCCCTAATTCGTCTATTGATCTCATTCCTCATGTCCAGACCATTAGCAAATCCTGTTGTCTCTATTCTCAGAATCTTACGATTGCTTATCCCCTTCTGCCACTACCAGCCTGGTACAGCTAATCTTTATTTCTCACCTAGATTATCACAATAGCTTCTCACTGATTTCTCTGATTGTGTAGTCTTATTTTCAACTCAACAGCTAGAGTAATCCTGTAAAAGCGTGACTTTGATTACATCAATTTGTTCAAAACTCTACAACAGTTGTATTCGGAGTAAAATCCAAAGTCCTTTCTCTGGTGTTTAAGGCCTTATTGCTCTTCTGTGCTTACATCACTCCAGCCACCTTGACCGTTTAGCTGTCCCTTGGATACTCTAAGCTTATTCTTGCTCAGGTCTTTGTGTTTGCTGTTGCCTCTATCTGGAATGCTGTTCCCCAGATAGCCACGTGGCTTGTTCCCTCACTTTCTTTAATTCTTTGCTCAAGTGTCGCTTGATCACAGAGGCTTTCCTTGACTAGCTGTATAAAACAGGTCACCCCACACCCATCCACATATCCTCTCCCTTCTACTCTGCTCGTCACCACTTGACATACTATACAATTTGTCCATTATTTGTCTTCCCCCACTGGAAAGTAAGCGTCATGAGGCAGGGATTTTTGTTTTATTCACTGTAGTATTCCAACACCTTTTGAAAAGTATCTGGCAAGTAGTAGGCACTTAATATTTGCTGAATGAATAAATGGTTCTCTTTGAAATAGCTGTGTGATGTGATTCAGAATGAATTGTTCATAATTCCATTTCAGGAAGATACCAATAATGCATTTTTCCTTTCCTATTGATGTTTAGGTCTCTTCATTCTTGACATTATATCTTTTTATTATTTGATCTGAGAACTTTTGAAATATACAGAGTAGCGTTGGGAGTACTTGGTCTTTTGCAGTGATTGGCTGTAAGTCAGGGCAATGCTAGCAGAAGAGACAGCACTGGCTGCCAGCTGGTCTAAACATATTAAAGCTTATATGGTGCATTAAAAACCATACCCTTGTCTCCTCCCTTCCCGCCTCTTCTTCCTACCTATACTTTTCAGGATGTACATTGTCAGTTTTAAACTTGGGGACTACTCTCGATTTTCAACTTGATTTTATCTGTTTAAAATGGGACCGCCAGAGTTGTTGGTTCTGAGTCCTATGTAGCCTTCTTCCTTGACTCAGATTGGCTGTTAAAGAAGGAGAAAGAAGCAGTTTTTATTTTCACCAAAAAGACAAGAGTGAAAGTTCTTCTGTAGATCATGGTTAGGTAATATTAGGAAGAAATTATACCCAGAATGCATCATATGAAATGATTTTTTTCTTTTAGTGGTTTACATTTTCAGTTCAATATTTATTATTCGAATACACACTACCTGCTTGTAACTGGAGTAATAAAAAGATAAGAAGCTAGGTCGCTTCCTGTAAGAAACTTGTACTGTCTCATAAAAGGCATTAAAAAAACGAATCTTCCCTCTAGGATGTCCCAGTGGACTACTTCTTTGTGAAATGCAGTGGAGCACTCGTGAACACCAGTGACACAGTGCAGCATGGAGCTGTTTATAGTTTGGAACCCAGACTTCTCGGTGGAAAAGGAGGTAGGACAGTGTAACACATTTGCAGTGTTTGGCCATATGTAATAAATTCACAAACTCCACAGACTCTAGTGTGCCAGCCTTGTTTTACCTTGTTTATTCCTTTATTTACTTGCCTGATTTTGAATGTTTTCTTTTTCATTCTTTTTATGGAAGAAATACTGTATGATACATACAGTTCCCACCTTCTCCAGCCAGATATCTCTGAGGGAACTTTCTAGGCTCTAAAACTTTGAGGAAGATTAGATGAACAAAGATGACCATATTCTGTCCAATTTGTGAAGAAAGAGATTTAAAACAATGAAATCTCCTGCATTTATTAAGATTTTTGTCTTGCTATTGTAGTTCCAAGGGAGGTCTAAAGTCACCTTAGGAAACACAGCTGTTTACAGGTTGCGGTAGATTAAGATCCTGGTTGCATTAACACATCTAAGAGAGAGAAACTAAAAGAGCAAAAACAGAATACAAACTGTTCTTGGTATTTCTCCTGGTGTGCTACCATGTCTTCCCTAAGCTTTCTCAAAATCTAGTGATTTGTTTTGGTTTTCAGAGAGCTGACTGTAATCATCTGCTGTTTGAAATTGTGTCAGTAAGAATGAAACATGTTATATCAGCCAGTGACAGCTTAAACTCACCTTTCCCTTTAAACTCGTTGAAAAATCTCACCATATAATTTTTTTAGTACTTTTAATCTGGGAGTCTTGGGATCTCTGGCATTTGGTAAAGCCCTTTAAGTATCCCCGCTGTACAGGTATGATATTTCAGAAATATAAAATGAAGGGTGAATGGCATGGGGTTGAATCAGTCTTTTTACCGTTGCTATCTGGGTTAGAACCTTGATGTCTGTAGGAATCACCATTAATCTTATATAGACTGTTTTCGTGTATTTGGCTTTTATTCATCCTTGAACACATTTTTAACCTTTCTCCAAATATATCTGCTCAGGTTTTGGATCTATGCTCCGAGCACTTGGTGCTCAAATTGAGAAGACAACCAATCGAGAAGCTTGCCGGGATCTCAGTGGCAGGAGACTACGAGACGTCAATCATGAAAAAGCGTAAGATGCCCACCTTTTTTGTTTTTGAAGAGACGGACATACTTTCCTGTTGGTAGTCATTATACACGCACCATACATAATCAGAAATGTAAACTTGAAATATTTACACTCTAATTTATTGTTATCAGATTTAACCTTTTCCATAATTTAATAGTTATCTTTGGGTTTTAGTTAAGGCAATTACAGGGTGCTAGTAGTAAGCATGGCTCACCTTTCTGCGAGAATATCACAGTATGTGCGAGAGTGCATTCATTTGTCAGGAGGCAAATATATTACATAAAATATAGCCGTTCAGTTAATCTCTTCCTCTCTCGTGCCCAGAATGGCCGAGTGGGTGAAACAACAAGCCGAGCGGGAGGCTGAGAAGGAGCAGAAGCTGCTGGAACGACTGCAGCGGAAGCTCGCCGAGCCCAAGCACTGCTTCGCCAGCCCTGACTACCAGCAGCAGTGCCACGAGATGGCAGAGCGTCTGGAGGATTCCGTCCTCAAAGGTGAGAAGGAGGATTCCTTAGTGTGGCCAGCAGGCACCCCTGACGCCAGCTGTTCCAGACTGCTCCACGCTGCACATGGAGAGCAGTTCTTAAGCTTTTTGGGGGGTTACAGACATCTGAGATTCTGATGAAAGCCTTGGAACCTCTCCCCTCAAAAATGAACGCAATATATTTTTAAAAGGGAACACATACCCACACAAGATTTGGCATACTTAGACCCTGAATTCCATGGGGCTGTGGGCCCCAGGTAGGAATGCTTTTTGTGTTTGTGTTCAGGGATAAGCTGTCTTTAGGTGGTGTCTAGACCTTGTTGTATTTGCTGCCAGTTTTAGGTCTGTTATTTTTAATGGATTTTTCTTTTTTTTTTTTTTTTTTAAACGATGACCGGTAAGAGGATCTTAACCCTTGACTTGGTGTTGTCAGCACCACGCTCAGCCAGTGAGCGAACCGGCCATCCCTATATGGGATCCGAACCCGGGGCCTTGGTGTTATCAGCACCGCACTCTCCCGAGTGAGCCACGGGCCGGCCCATTTTTAATAGATTTTAATGAGAGTGATTCTCATTCACTTTTGTTTTTAACATCCAAAGTATTATGCCGGGGGCCGGCCCGTGGCTCACTCGGTAGAGTGTGGTGCTGATAACACCAAGGCCCCGGGTTCGGATCCCATATAGGGATGGCCGGTTTGCTCACTGGCTGAGTGTGGTGCTGACAACACCAAGTCAAGGCTTAAGATCCCCTACCGGTCATCTTAAAAAAAAAAACTGACTAAGTATTATGCTGGGCCTATTGTGGGTACAGTTGAATAAGAAGAACTCTTTTCCATCAAAAAAAAGTTATGACATAACAAGAAAAACACAGATGTGAGAAAATAGCTAACACAAGAGGGTGAATAATTACATTTGGAAGAGGGCTATATATGAACCGATCAGCCTCAGAGTTTCAAATTGGGCAATGGTGCTTTAAGAATCTGCTTCCAGGGCCGGCCTGTGGCTCACTCGGGAGAGTGCAGTGCTGATGGCACCAGGGCCCCGGGTTCGGATCCCATATAGGGATGGCCGGTTGGCTCGCTGGCTGAGCGTGGTGCTGACAACACCAAGTCAAGGGTTAAGATCCCCTTACCGGTCATCTTTAAAAAAAAAAAAAAAAATCTGCTTCCAGAACCAGCATGTTTATTATTTTAAATCTGTGCAAATTTGAGATTAATCTCATTGTACCCATACAAAGTTATGGTATCTTAAGAAATTTAAATCTAGAGCTTTGTATTGCAGCTCTTTTTGCAATCCGTATTACTTATACTTTCTTTAAATTCAGTCGTGATAGTAGAAACTGAGTTGTTAAAGTTTCTGGTTAGGTATGCAAGCTGCCTCCAGCAAGACAGTATCAGCAGAAATGAATGAGAACTGGAAACGGCCCAAGAAATCAAAGACAGACAGAGGAGCCAGTGCAGCAAAGAGGAAATGCTTTTGGTAAGTTTCGTTTTCATTCCAAATTATTCTTTGAGAACTGACATGATATACTTCCTTCTTGTCCATCTGGCATAAACACGTTTTTAAGTAATGTCTGAGGGGAGCTCAGAAAACGTTCAGAGTGCTTTAGTCTTCAGGCTTTAAGGATTGTCACATTATACATATGAGGGTGCTTCAAAAAGTTTGAGGAAAAATGAAATTAAAAGATAATATGAATCTTCCCATTAACTCTTTTAAGTACCTCGTACTAGTAAATAGTTCCTACTGTGAGCGCTACCAGTAGAATCTATTGGATAATTTATTTCTGTACAGTGAAATATCACATAAAAATAGCTTCATATTTAAATTACTATTTGGGGGCCGGCCTGGTGGCACACTGCTACAGTGCGCCGCTTGGGAGCGCGGCGGCGCTCCCGCCGAGGGTTCGGATCCCACATACAGACCGGTTCCCACTCACTGGCTGAGCGAGGGGCGGGCGCAGCACCGAGGGTTGCGATCCCATTGCCGGTCCCGGTCTGGTCCGGGCGCGACACTGAGGGTTGCGGTCCGTTGCCGGACACAAAAAAAGACAAAAAGGAAAAAAAAATAAATAAATAAAATAAATTACTTTTTTGGTGTTGAAAGAGTTAACTTTCAAACGCTCCACGTGGAAGTCACACTATACTTTCCAGTTTGTTCTCTTTTCTCTGGTTTTTCACGGTCATCACTGAGGTCTGTTTCCTTTGCCAGACCTCTGTGGGTGAAAAGCACCACAGTACTTTCTCCTGTCGGGTCTCCTGCTGGTTCTCTCCCCCTCCTAGTTGGCCCTCTGGTTGCCAGCTCAGTTCCCTTGGGCCAAGTTCTAGAAAATGATAAGTGCAAGTGGATCTTGCTTCCTTGCTGGCCTCCCTTTTGGGGATAGAAAGATAATTATTAACCAAAGATCATGTAACTCTGAGTTCAGTGTAGAATCCTGTGTTCTTTCTGAAATGGGAATTAAATGTTCCTGAGAGAAAGGGAGTAGCATTACCTGTGTTTTTTTAATTTTTAAAATTACCAGGTTTATGGGGCCGGCCCAGTGGCTCACTCGGGAGAGTGCGGTGCTGATAACACCAAGGCCCCGGGTTCGGATCCCATATAGGGATGGCCGGTTCGCTCACTGGCTGGGCGTGGTGCTGACAACACCAAGTCAAGGGTTAAGATCATCTTACCGGTCATCTTTAAAAAAAAAAAAATAAAATAAAGAACCAGGCAAGACACTATCATTAGATACTTAAATTACATGAAGGCCATTTTAAAAAATATCAATTGAGAGACAAAAAACAGGAACTGAGAGCTTCATAGAGGATGTAGGATTTAAAGAGACTGTAGGATTTAGATGATCAAGCTGTGGGTATTACAAGGCTGAGGAATGGATAGATTCTGATTTAGAGGAAGAGTTTGGGTGCCCCTACCCTCCCCCATTTTCAGGGAGTCTTACCAGCTTTTTATCCCCACATACTATCTGTGTTGCCTCCCCAGTGACTTCACAGTAAATAATTCTGCACCCAGTGGTAAAATCCTACAGGGCTAAACCTTGTTAGTATTACTGCTGTTTCCATGGCAATCATCAGATGATGCATAATCTTGGTGAAGCAAGATTTGAGAAGTATTTTCATCAACAAATGCCCAGTTTTACTGGTAGAATGCCCTACTGGGGATTACACTACTTAGCTCCTTTATCAAAATTTAAACTCTGCTTTTCCATATTTCCATGTTTGAACATTTAGCAGAAAATACTTTTAATAAAAAAAAATCTGGGGCCGGCCCACAGCTCACTCGGGAGAGTGTGGTGCTGATAACACCAAGGCCACAGGTTCGGATCCCTGTATAGGGATGGCCGGTTGGCTCACTTGGGAGAGCGTGGTGCTGATAACACCAAGTCAAGGGTTAAGATCCCCTTACTGGTCATCTTTAAAAAAATAAATAAAAAAAATAAAATAAAGTCAGGTTTATTGAGGTATAATTTATGTACATAAAAGTCACCCATTTTGGCTGATCAGTTCGCTGAGTTTTGAAAACTATAATGTATAGTTATGTAACCACCACCACAGTCAAGATATAGAGTGTTTTCATCACCCTAGATAGTTCTCATGTTCCCCCTTGTAGTTAATTCTCTTCCTCTACCCCCAGATCCTGGCAGCCACTCATCACCAGTGTGATACTTTTCCTATGGTTTAGTCTTCCCTAGAGTGTCATATGGCCTTTAGTGTCTGGCGTCTTGCACTTGGCATAATGTTTTTAAGATTCATCAATGGTGGGCTAGCTGGTTAGCTCACTTGGTTAGAGTGTGGTGGTGATAACACCAAGCACCAAGGTCAAGGGTTCCAATCCCTGTACCAGCCAGCTGCAAAAAAAAAAAAAAAAAGACTCATCTTTGATATTATTGCTGAATATCGTTGCATGGTATGGACATACCACAATTTATTGTTCCTCCATTTAATTAACATTTGGGTAGTTTCCAGTTTCGGGTGATGGTGAATAAAGCATAGGATTTTCTTTGTAACTTTGTTATCTAATTTCTAACAGTCAAAAGTAATGTAATATGGGGGGAAAAAGTTTTAAGCAAAATCAATTTTGTTTTAAGAGATTCATGACTTTATATTTTTCATTTCATTATTATTATTATTAATTTTTTTTGGCTGCCAGCCAGTAAGGGGACCTGAACCCTCGACCTTGGTGTTGCAAGGCTGCACTCTAATCAGTTGAGCTAACCGGCCAGCCCAGATTCAGAGCTTTAAGAAAGAGATCCTCGGGCCGGCCTGGTGGCGCACTGCTACAGTGCGCCGCTTGGGAAGCGCGGCGGCGCTCCCACCGAGGGTTCGGATCCCACATACAGACCGGCTGCTCACTGGCTGAGCGAGGAGCGGGGGCAACACCGAGGGTTGCGATCCCGTTGCCGGTCCCGGTCCGGTACAGGCGTGACACTGAGGGTTGCGATCAGTTGCCGGTCATGAAAAAAGACAAAAAGACAAAAAAAAAAAAGAAGAAAGAGATCCTCTTGAATCATTGAGATGGTTGGTTTCAGTCTCATTGAAATTTTTTTCTTTCTGTTTATACATGTTCTGGAATACCTTTTCTAAAATTTACCTACTCTCCCTCTCAAGCTAACAGATACTTTTATTCAAAAAGAGTCTGTTTCCTGGACAAACTGCAACTCTGTCTAAAGGAGAAGTTGTAAATGGTGTTAAACCTTTCCATTGCTTCTGGCAGGTTGGGCATGGAAGGACTAGAGACTGTGGGGGTGTCCAGCTCTGAGAGCTCGGATGACGACAGTGAAGAAGTACCTGGTCCTTCAGGACTGAGCTTCCACGCGCCGAAAAATGCCAGTGACAGGGCTGAGATGGTGGCCGAATTTCCCAGTAGTTCTCAGAGGGCGAGAGTATTGAGAACAGACACTGGATCAACAGAAAACCCACAGGTCCCAGCGACTGGCTGTGGGAAGGGTATTTCAGAAGACTCCAGGGCTGAGCCGGGAGAGGCATGTGCTGTAGAGCACAGGGAGAGGAAGATGGTTTTAGAAACAGAGGAGACCCAGGAGAAAAAAGAGGCAGAGGGCAAAGGATCCATAGAAGAGGAAGCAGCTGGGGACGGGCTGAATAAGGATAAAGAGACAAAAGAAATGACTGATGGGGAAGGAGCTGCCAAGGTGGCACTTGGAGAAGACAGGGAAAACGTTCCCGTGATCAAACTGGAGGAAAGCCAGGCAGGAGACACAGTAAGTAATTTTTTTGGTTGATGTCTCGAGCCAAATCAGTTGATTCTCCACAGTAAGTCATTAAAATGAAAATGTGCTTTTTCCCATCAGCTGCTTAGTGAAAGTCTCATTTAATACTAAGAAGTACAGATGATGGCAAAGCTTGTCTGTCCCCCCAAAAAGATTCTTTTTTAGCTCTGGAATTTATACTATTTTGCCACTAGGTGGTGTTCTTTGTTCGGTGTCATAAATTCTAAAGTGCACATTTTTCACATTTTAGCATCACTGAAATCAATGTATTTCATATTACATTTTAATTAGTGCTGTTTATTCTTTCTTAATAATACATACAATTAAGGGGGTATGTGAGGGGTCTTCAAAATTTTGTTCATGGAATGATTTTTTTTTTTTTTGGTTACTGTTTTACATTTTATTTATTTTTTTATTCATATTTTCTTTTAATTCTATTTTTCCACGAACTTTTTGAAGTACCCTTGTATTACGACAGATGGCATTTTAGGTTTGATGAAATTAGCTCATTTTTCCTATCACTAAATCACTACTATTTTTTTTTTCCTTGTTTGAGATATAGTTTGAACAATAAGTGTCAACTGAGTAAGAAGATCTTTCCTGTGATGATCATTAAATCTTTTTTTTTTGGCCACTGTCCAGTGCAGAGATTGAACTGAACCCTGGACCTTGGCATTATCAGCACCTGCTCTAACCAAACGAGCTAACCGGCCAGCCCTTATCATGAAATATATAAGTCCCACCTTCAGCCTTTTTGAAAAGTCATTTTCATTTACATATATTCCCTCAAATAGTTGATTATTCACTATCTTCAGTGGACTGACTTCCAACAAAAATCTTTAATGTTTAGTTTTTGATCTAATGGTTTGCTCTTTACAATAGGTGAAACCTAAACTACGTGATTTCCTTTGATAAACACAAAGCCCATCATTTGTTTAACCAGAACCTTCCCTTACCTCCAGTAACTAAGCAGAAATGTATAGATTGCCCTTTTTGGAGAGAATATTGGAATCTTTTATGCTAAGGGCTTTAATTTGATCCTTACACCATCTCCGGAGTTGTAAGCATGTAATTTTATGTTACATGTGCACATTAGGGGCCTTATCTTGACTGTGAAGTCTTGGAAAAATGAATGAACAATAGAAAAAAACCTGATATTTGATGTTCGTTGTTAACCATGACAATTTTGTTCTTGGTGTTGTAATAATAGCTGTTGTGTTCGTAACAACCACGTGTGATTCTTCAAAGACACATAAGTGGTATTTTAGAATGTGGACATAAATAACAAAGCTAAGGTTCACTCCAGAAATCTATCAAAATAGATTTTTTAAAAAACCCAAAAATCTGGGCCGGCCCGGTGGCGCACTCTGTAGAATGCGGCGCTTGGGAGCGCAGTGGCGCTCCCGCGGAGGGTTCGGATCCCATGTGGAGACCGGCCCGCTCACTGGCTGAGCGCGGTGCGGGCGCAACACCAAGGGTTGCGATCCCGTTACCGGTCATGAAAAAACGACAAAAAAAAAAAAAAAACCAAAAATCTGAGATCAACTAGAAATATAAAGAGTCTGTCCCCAGAGCTCTTTAATATTTAAAAAAATAACTTACTGTGAGAGAAAATTGTTCTTTGAATATATTTTTTTTTAAGTGAAATTTTTAGATGTGAACATTTTTATTCTTTGTAGGGCATTCATCATTAGAAGTATTTGACTTTTTCTTTTTTTTTTTTGGTGGCTGGCCGGTGTGGAGAACCGAACCCTTGACCTTGGTGTTACAAGGCTGCACTCTTACCGACTGAGCTAACTGGGCAGCCCAGAAGTATTTAATTTTGCCTTAAAGTCTGTACACCTACTTGGTGGGTACAACAGTGACAAGTCTATTGAGCAGCATTTAAATTTGTTGAGTTATACAAGTGGGGACTCTGACAGTCTTAATTATTCAATTAGAATAGAAAGCATTAAGATGATGGAATTAATAGATTCAGAGATATGAGAATAATTAAAATTAAGCTTTTTAGGGTGCCCGCTCTTTTCTGTGTTAATAGTGTGGGTTAGGCTGGGTATGTTTTACTGTTTAGATTTTTGCTGGAAAAATAATATTAATCTGTTCAGGAATCCTCTACTTCTGTGACTGTTCTGAATGCTTGTTTCTAAGTATATACGTAAAAAGTTAGTTTATTAATTATATTGAGAATGCATGTGGAATAACATCTAGATAATTATTAAAATTCAGTAGAAAGGTATGGCAAATTAAATGAAAATTCCTTAAAAAATAGAATGTAGTTGACATTAGTTAAAGAACATCTTTATTCAGAGGAAGGAACCTGCTTTCAGTATTTTCTTTTTTTCCCTCAGGTTATCGGTCAGGAGACTGTAGATTTGTTAGCATTCGACTCTGTTGCGGAACTGGAGTTGCTGGGTTTGGAGAAGCTTAAGAGTGCACTGATGGCCCTTGGCCTGAAATGCGGGGGCACCCTGCAGGAGCGCGCAGCACGACTCTTCTCCGTCAGAGGACTGGCAAGGGAGCAGATCGACCCAGCTTTATTTGCCAAGCCTTTGAAAGGGAAGAAGAAATGAGTTTCATCGGAGCTCATTTTCTATTTCTTTACAGTCTAGCACTTAAAACCTGCGTAATGTGGGCTCTTGGCCAGTATTCCTCTTGATATTAAAAGCTAACTTTTTAATAGCTCAGTTCTAACTATCCCCTTTCTCGTGATTATATTTATAGAATTAATGTGTGAAACCATCTGGGCCTGAAGTTTTCTGTATAAGAATGTTTTTTAATTATAAATTTAATTTCTTTAATAAATACAGCTATTCCTTATATTAGTTCATTTTCTGCCGCTGATAACTGGGTAATTTATTAAGAAATGAAATTTATTTCTTACAGTTTTGGGGGCTGGGAAGCCCAAGGTCCAGGGGGTGCATGTAGTGAGGGCTGCCTTCTTGGTGGGAACTCTCTGCAGAGTCCTGGGGCTAAGCAGGTAGTCATGGTGAAAATCACAAGAGCATCTCCATACACTTACCTTCCCTCATAAATAAAGCCCCCAGTCTACTTCCTGATAACCCATTAATCCATGAATGTTCTCACAAGCCAGTCACCTCCTCAGGGCCCCACCTTTCAAATACCACAGTCAGATTTCCCACCCTCTTACCACTGTTACAATGGGGATTAAGCTTCAGTGAGTTTTGGGGGGACATTCAAACTGTAGCAGTGCTGTTCAGATTTTTGTTTTCATCTTGTCACTTAGGTAAGTTTTCAAGGAATTTATCTATTTGACTCAAGTTGTCAGATTTGTAGATACGAAATTACTCATAATAGTTCCTTCTTATCCTTTTAATGTCTGTAGGACCTGGGGTGATAACTTCTTTTTCATTCTGATACTGGTAATTTCTGTCCTCTTTCCTGATCAGTCTGGCAAGGGGTTTATCAGTTTTGTTGATCTGATTTTCAAAGAACCAACTTCAGACTTTAATTTTTCATTGATTTCTGCTCTTTATTATTTCTTATCTTCTACTTAGCTTGGTTTTTGCTCTTTTCTTTAGCTTCTTAAAATAAGTCTTCAGTCATTGCTTTTAGACTTTTTTCCTAATATAAATATTTAAAACTATAATTTTTCCTTTAAATACTACTTTAGCTGTATCTCGAAAAATTTGATATGTTGTATTATCATTCAGTTCTAAATATTTTCTAATTACCTCTGAATTCTTTGACCCATGGATCATCTAGAAGTATGTTGCCTGATTAGCAAATTTTGGTTTTTCCCCTAAATATCTTGTTACCGATTTCTACTTTAATTTTATTGAGGTGGGAAAATATCTTATGATTTCAGTCCTTTTAGTTTTATTGAGACTTGTTTTATGACCCAGTATATGGTCTGTCTTGGTGAATGTAGAGTAAGTGGGCTGGCTGGTTAGCTCAGCTGGTTAGAGGGTGATGCTGATAACACCAAGGGCCAGGGTTCGATCCCTGAACCCAGCAGCCACACAGACACACACACACACGTAAATATGTTCTGTAATATTAGATTAGGTGGCTGATAGTGTTCAGATCATCTATGTCTTTACTGATTTTTTGTTACGTGCTGAGAGGGTATTAAAATCTTCAGTTGTGATGGTGTTAATTATTTCCTTAATTCTATCAATTTTTGCTTCATATTTTTTATTTTTTAATGTTTTTATTGAATCTTACTTGATTATACCTATTTTGGGGCTGCAATATTGACATATGTTGATCAAATCAATATTACTAGTATATATATTGTTATAAAGCATACTTATTCTTTATGCCCCTTGTCCAATCACTCCCCATCCTCCTCTCCCCGACTAATTACCCTAGATTTCTTTTCTCCTTCTGAAAGATAATGGTTACTCTTTTGATTTGTTGCCTAGATGATCGTCCAATGCTGAGAGGTGTGATCAGGTCCCCCAATATTATCATAGAGCAGATGCTTCTTCTGTCACTCTGGAACGAGCTTTGTGGAGAGAGGCATCCTCTTCTTTTCTTTGGTCTCTGCTGGTGACTCCTTGTGTCAGTGCACTCCAGTGGCTGGCAGACCATCTACACAGTGGTTGTGGTGTCTAGTCGCTTTCGTGGCAGCCATGGTTATTGTGGTGACTGTGGTGAGCCACCCACATGGAGGTGATGTTTTGGGCCTGCTCCTTACCTAGTTGGTGGTGGTAATGGTGGTGTGC